TGGCACATGATTAAAGAGTGGAATTGGTAAGTTACAATATTACTAAAACATAAGCTGACCTTCATTAACCTCCAAAGAGGGCAACAAGAGAGGTACAGGTGGATGCCAACTGTCTGTCAGGGCAAAACCCTAAAATGCCTGATTGACTACAACTGCATTGACAGGTGGAGCTTCCATCTTCACCGAGGGCCTATCAGCTGGTGCCAGAAGCAGCACCTATCAGTAGGCCCTTTAACCTCATCTCAGAAGACCATGGCAGGGCAACACACTAGAGCTTAGAAGCCAGGTGGGCTAGGCAGCAAGTGTGACAGAAACAAAGAACAGACTTCTGAAGGAGTGGTCTTAGGTCTTCCAGAAGCAGAGAAAGAACTTCCCATTGTCCCCTCCCCTGAAGGTCCACACAGCCCATCTCTGGCTGACCTTACATCCAAATAGATACGAAATCTTATCCCAGCACTAAAATGATGGCATTTCCTCTGCCCAGCTTGTACAAACAGAATACTTAACCAGAGACCGAATCACTCAGTTCCCAAAACACCTGAAGATTTTTTTTAATTGCTAAAAATCAGAGCTCCTTATTAGAAGCAATCTGTGGGTGATAATAAATCTACTCTTAGAGTTTTATTTACCTAGAGTTTTAAAATGTGCTAAATAATAGAAGGTACTGCCAGCACCATCTCTGACCAATCTGCAAACTTAGAGCAGTCAGCCTCTGCTTGCAAACCGAAAAGTTAGTTTCTAAGACAGCACCTGTGGTCTGAACTTCAGTACTTCTTCAAGGAAAATCTTACCAGGAAGTCTCTGCCTCAGAATCTGGCTGTTAACAGAGTGGATAGGCCAGGTGCTGTGGCTCATGCCTGTAATCCCAGCACTTTGGGAGGCCAAGGTGGGTGGATCACAAGGTCAAGAGATGAAGACCATCTTGGTCAACATGGTGAAACCTCATCTGTACTAAAAATACAAAATAACTGGGCATTGTGGCACCTGCCTGTAGTCCCAGCTATTTGACAGGCTGAGACAGGAGAATTGCTTGAACCTGGGAGGCAGAGATTGCTGAGAGTCAAGATCACACTACTGTATTTCAGCCTGGTGACAGAGTGAGACTCCATCTCAAAAAAAACAAACAAAAACCAGAGCAGATAACCAAGCTCTTTAAAGGTAATAATATGTTTATATTGAGTTTTACACTTTACATGTTCCAAGGTGGCCATTTTCATTGCATATGTCATCCCACTAACCTGGCTACACTTAATTGTTTTTTGATGCCTGATGTTCAGGTCAGTCAAATTGCCTGCCTCTCTCAGGCAGTGTGCACTCCACCTCCAGAGATGTGAGATTTAGCAGAGACACTAGTTAGACGTTGTTTGAAGTTTTAGATTTTTAATTAAGTTTTATGTTGATTTAGGATGATAATTCCCATGTATTAATATCGTTTATGTTCTGATTCTTTATATCTAGTATATTAGCCTTGTGTCACCCAAGCATGTGATCAACATATCCCTTCATCCAAGTCATGAATAAAAATCTTAACTCTGATGGTAGATTTATTGATGGAATATAAGATGAGCATTGAATATGTTGTTGCAGACCTGTTTATTGTCATAATATCAATGTACATTGAAGACTGAATAAAAAGTCATTGAATATTATGCATTTTAAAAATTCTATTGCTGTTACAAATGTGTTTGAACATATATAAACAATAAAAAGTCCTGCAAAGAGATGCACCCCCCCCCAGAAATCATATCAGTATGTATCTCTGAGTGGTCAGGCTACCAGTAATTATTTGCTTTCTTTTTAATTCCTATACCTATGTTCTTTTGTTGTTGTTGTTGTTGTTGAGACAGTCTTGCTCTGTTGCCCAGGCTGGACTGCAGTGATGCGATCTTGGCTCACTGCAACCTGCCCCTCCCAGGTTCAAGTCATGCTCATGCTTTAGCCTAATGAGTATCTGGGACATGCACCACCACTCCAAGCTAACTTATTATAGTTTTCGTAGAGACAGGTTTTGCCATGTTGGCCAGGCTGGTCTTGAACTCTTAGCCTCAAGTGATCTGCCTCCCTTGGCTTCCCAAAGTGCTGTGATTACAGGTGTGAGCCACCATGCCTGTCTCCTGTACTGATCTTCTAAAAAATAACTTACTTGTCAGGCAGTTGTTTTATAAACAAAGAACATGAAAAAGGATTCTGTATTTTTAAAAAAAATTCAAAAGAAAAAATATAAAAGAGAGTCCTGTGGTCTCTAAAGAACTTACAGGTCCGGGCCAGGGCACGATGGCTCACACCTGTAATCCCAGCACTCTGGGAGGCTGAGGCGGGTAGATCACAAAGTCAAGAGATCGAGACCATCCTGGTCAACATGGTAAAACCCCGTCTCTACTGAAAATACAAAAAATTAGCTGGGCATGGTGGTGCGTGCCTGTAATCCCAGGTACTCAGGAGGCTGAGGTGGGAGACTTGCCTGAACCCAGGAGGTGGAGGTTGCAGTGAGCCAAGATCGCACCATTGCACTCCAGCCTGGGTAACAAGAGCGAAACTCTGTCTCAAAAAAAAAGAACTTACAGGTCTGAAAGACTGGTTTCAGACTGCCATGTTGCACACAATTACTGGAAAAGATTTTTAAAAACATCTCCCGTGGGAGAGTCACCAGGTGATACTGATGTTGTCAGTCCCTGGCCAGCTAAAGGACAGAGCCACGTAACTTAGCTATTGACACACCCAACTCCTCCGCCTCTTACTAAATGTGGGACCTCAGGTTACTTGAATTTAAGAAAAAAAAATTTTTTTTCTCCTGAACAGCAACAAAGAATATTAACATCAGTCCTGAATGATGGTAGTGAGGCTTAGTGGAGTAATGCCTAATCCAGTGCCTGGCACACAGTAAAGCCAAATAAGCAATACGATGGTCTCCGTAGCATCTAGTTCACTGTTCTCAACCTTATCCATAGGTCATTCTATACCACAGGTCTTCCTTCTCCCTCTGCAACATATTCTAGACCAAGAGGAAATAAAGCAATGGCTTAGTATGGATGTTACTGTTGCTGCCAATTTGTGAAAATCATTGTTTCTAATGCTCTCCATATAAAGTGATTAACCCCTGATAAATAACTTAAATTTTCACCCTTTTGTTTAAAACCCCTTGCTTCTTTTCTAGTGGCTTTCCCATTATGGTGGAAACCCCCCTTACAATTCAGGTAAGCCTAGAAGTTCATTCAAGAAACATTTGCAGTTGTGCCTGAAGCAGTCTGCTAGGGATTGATAGGATCTTCGTTCCCCAAAGAACTTGAAGGCAAGTGAAAAGACAAATCAGTCAAATACCAGTTTCCACATCATAACATTTTAGAGGAATTTTTGTTTTTTTGAATATCCCACTTGCTGGGAGAGAGTAAAAGAGTAAAAACTTAATTTTTAAAATTCCTTTTTCAAGTAGAAAAAGCAATTCTTATGGATGAATTATCAATTTTGTATAGAATATGGTCCAAACAACTTCAGAAGGGCTGAGATCAAAGAAACTTAATCTTGAAGAGGTCACAGAGCTGTGAGGTGTTGTCTGGGAGACATTGTTCTTGGGGCAGCAAGCTTCGCAGCTCCTGAGGGGGATCGGCTAAGCTGATGCACAGCCCTGCTCCTCCCATCCCTTCTCCACGTGTGCTGTACCGCTTCCACACTAATGCCCCAGAGTTGGGTGGCAGTGTGAGCAATGGAAAATTACTCTGACCCCAGAGCTGAGCTGTAAAGGTCGGGTCACTGGGTGCATCTTTCCAAAATAGAACCAATGGATCTCAGCTCATCTTCGCTTTCTTTCTCTAAAGTCCAAGATACATTCAGAGGCCCCATAATCTCCTCAGTCTTGAAGGGCTGCAGGGAAAATGGCTAGAATAATTATTTTTCCATGCAGAAGACTGGCCATTTGCTAAACTTGTAGACATCAAAGTAATATCCATGTATATATCTCCCTAATCTTACCCCTGCTTTATAAAATTATCCTAGTTGAACAAATTATTTCATCCAAGGTAGTTCTAATGATTTTGTTTCTGTGGGAATAGTGTATATGCATGAGGAACCCTGTGTATTATAGTTTTAGATGATTGAAGAGTGAAAATAGTTGCAAACTGCATATAAGTTACAGTTTCCAGTATGTCTTAAATTATTTTAATTTAAAATGTGATCTGTAGTTATCTGTGCAATATGATTGTTATATGATTGTAACTCACAGGACAAAGACTAAGGCAAAGATAAAGTTTTTGTAGGCAAGAGGAGTTAACTATGCAATTTTGAAGCTTGTAATGTATTAGATTTTACTATTTTTTAAATTATTATTTCAGTTCTGATTCTTTCTTCCTCTTTTGGTTTATGGTTTGTGACCATTAGATGGCACTGTGCGTCTCAAATATAGAAAGCACTTGAAATTCAAATGCTAGGCTATGCAGAAGAAAGTAACATGATTCGTTAATATTTTCATGCTATGGTTTCAATGAGAGTAGAAACATTTTATTTTTCATATAAAATTTGCCAGTGTTATAGTTTATTAGGGATAAATCTGGAATATAATTCCATAGTTGCATATGAAATTTACCTTGCATACAGAAACTGTTCCTTTCTATATGACAGAAGAATAATGCCTCTCAAACTTAGACTGGGCCTGGGGCTCCTGAGTCAAATGAAAGAATACAGCTCCTTCACCTCCACTTCAGAGCATTGTGCTGCTGATTTTTTAAGAAAGTTGGTGAACTTGTGTTTGTCTGCTGCAGTGGTGGCCAACGTTTTGGGCACTAGGAATGGGTTTCATGGAAAACAATTTTTTCATGGAGGGGGTTGGGGATGGCTTCAGGATGTAACTATTTTACTTCAGATAATCAGATATTAGATTCTCATAAGGAATGTGCAACCTAGATCCCTTGAATGAGCAGTTCACAGTAGAGTTTGTGCTCCTATAAGCATGCAGTGCTGCCACTGATCTGCTGGGAGGTGGAGTTCAGTGGGTAACGCTTGCTCACCCACCGCTCACCTCCTGCTGTGCAGCTGGGTTCCTAACACACGGGACTGTTACCTGGCCGTGGCCTGGGGGTTGGGGACCCCTTGTTTAGTGTGTTCTCTCATTGGTAAGTCCTTAACATCAAAGCATTTACTTACAAATAGGATGCAAATTCATTTACAAATTACAAATCATCTGAGATGCTAGTCTTAGCTCTAGAAAAGAACAAAATTAATTGGCTTTCAATCCCAGGAGCTAGCTTTATTATTTTCATCTTTAATCAGTTAATGGAAGTTGATGTTACTGACATTTCATCCCCAGACTCATCCCCTCATAGCACAGCCCTTGATTCACCAACTCTCTCCTTGTTCCCCTCAATCTCCAACATTCTCTCAGGCTGTACACCACCTTCACCCAGAGCTCTGCCTGAGGCCTCGTGTCCTCTCCTTCTACAGCTCCCCGGGGAGCAGTCTCACCTGTGCCCAGGACTACAGTTCCTGGAGGTTGTTAACATTTCCTACTCTGTATCTTCAGTCTATGTAGCCACTTCTTCCGCTTGGATGTCTTCAGGCACTTCTAAACTTAACTCATCCAAAATGGTACTCACTATGCCCAACTTCAAACTTAGTGTTCCCTCTCTTGGGGAATGCTGCCATCATCAGTGACATGCCCCATGCAGAGATCTGAGAGTCAGGCTCAAACCTCTCTTGTTCTCATTCTTCATCTTGCCCAGGTATGAGGGGAGGAGCCAGGATTTGGAACCAGGAAATCCAGCTCCACATCAAAATCCCTTATCTACAACACGATAGAGAAAACAATTAGGATACAGATTCATTTACAAATTACAAATTATCTGAGGTGCTAGCCTTAACTCTAGGAATGTAAAACACATTTCCATTATTTTAGTTGATGATACTAGTATCTATTTAATAAAACTGTCCTGTGCCCCTGTTTCAGTATGTAGATATCTGAGAGTAAGAAAGTAGTTTTTTTTTTGTTTTGTTTTTACCAAAACTCTTCCTTCCTGATTTTTATTGTTACCAGTGGTGAATCTTTCTGGGTCTGCAGCACCTCAATTATTGCCTTCTCAGAAGAAAGAATTTGACCGAGGTGCATAAAGCAGAGAGATAGTCCAAGGCAAGTTTTAGAGGAGGAGTGAAAGTTTGTTAAAAAACTTTAGAGCAGGAATGAAAGGAGGTACACCTGGAAGATGGAAGAGAGCCAAGTGTGCACGGTTTTACCTTTTGACTTGGGGTTTTATATGTTGGCATGCTTCTGAAGGTCTGGTGTCCCTTCTCTGATTATTCCCTTGGGATTGGCTGAGATAAAAGCACTATGTTGTGTTCAAAGATCACATAATGTAGGGTAAAGGAGAATAACTGTATTTGCACCATCAGAACACTGTGTATAAGTGCTCTAAGGGAGATACATACTGGGGGACATGGGTACAGGGAGGGAGAATTTAAATCCTCATGGTGGTTCCAGAAAGATTACACTGAAGAAGGGTCTGCATGCGCAGTGGCCAGCCAGCGCATGGGAAGGGCTGCATGCCCAGTGTGTTTACTGGAGTTGTCAGTAAAAAGTCCCTAGAAGGTCATATATACCAGTTAAACTCTGCTGTGTTGCCTCTTAATGCATAGGCTTGAGCCCACTAGCACAACTCCTGAGATGGTATTGGGAAGCTGCAGATCACAACTTTCAGGTTTTTTCTCCTGGGAGACGGCCTTCTCCTGGTGCTACTTGTGACCAATTATTATTTTAGAGGAACAGTGTAACAACCACCTGACCATCACCTGATGGTGGCCTGACATTCCTGGTGGGGCAGGAGGAGCCCTCTTCTGCCCTGCTCATACCTGACTAGCTATTTACTGTAACACATCCTTGTCTCAAAACCTTGCAGTGAACTTGCAACCCTTTGCCTTTCGGGTTTTCAACTCCACTTTCATCCCCCGTGACACCATTTCTTAAGACAAGCAAACTCAGTTTAGTTTATATATGTTTCAATACACCCACCTAACCCAAAATCAAACTAGAGTTCTGCAATTGGAACATAGCTACAGAAGTTAACAAACTGTATTGTTATTTGATAGAAGAAAATGTGGTCATAAACATATGAATTACTATAAAGCCTATTTTAAAATAAATGTTTCAAAAGACAAGTAACATTTTTCATGAGTTTGGATACCATCTCACCTTTTGGGAACTAATTAATTGCAAAGATCTTTTCCCCATATGTAAGTTTTTCTTTCTCTTATAATCCAAAGCCTGTGAGTGTATGTCTAAGGTCTAGTTTCTCTACTTCACTTTATCTCAGAATAGTTTTTCTTTAACTTTTCTATTTTTCATTCAATATTGAACTGGAGCATTTTTTTAGCATTTCATTTAATATCTGATATCTAATCTTTTGTTTTGTTGTGTGTTTTACTTTTTTCTCTGGGGTTTTGGAATACTCCTGTGTGTGTTACAGGAAAGAAATCAAATTTAAAGGGAAAATGTTTAAATTATCTTCTCAAGACCAGTAGTATATTCTGGCTGAAAAAATCTCCATATCATTCAACCACTTGATCAAACAGCATTTATTGAGCACCTGCTAGGCCTGGCAATATGACAGGCACTGGGAAAATGAGATAAAAGCACAGTCTTATGTTCAAAGATCACATAATGTGGGGTAGAGGAGAATCAGTATATTTAGACCCTCAGAACACAATATACAGGTGCTATAAGGGACAGGGAATGGAGAGGGACAATGTAAATCCTCATTGATATAGTAGTTAAAAACAAATTATTGAGGCAGAGAGAGAGGGTAAGGAAGTCCTTGGTATGGTTTTCCTTTTAATAAAAAGCAGCCCCAAATCATTTCTTTTCTAACAAAAATAGCCTGAAAAATCAAGCTGCAGACATAGATAAGCAAGCAGGAAGCTTGCACGGGTGAATGCTGGCAGCTGTGACAATAGGAAAAGGCTACCTGAGGACTAGGCATGCGCAGCATGGCAGCTCCATCTTCCCTTTTCTTCTTTCTTTTAACTTTAGGTTCTATGGTACATGTGCAGATCTTGCAAGATTGTTACATAGGTACACACATGCCATGGTGGTTTTCTGCCTCCATCCCCCCATTACTTACATTGGGTTTTTCTTCTAATATTATCCATCCCCAATCTCCCCTCCCCTGCTATCCCTCAACAGACCCCAGTGTGCAATGTTCCTTGTGTCCATGTGTTCTCATTGTTCAACACCCACTTATGAGTAAGAACATGTGGTGTTAGTTTTCCTGTTCTTGTGTTGGTTTCCTGAGAATGATGGTTTCCAGATTCATCCATGTTCCAGCAAAGGACATGAACTCATCCTTTTTTATGGCTGCATAGTATTCCATGGTGTATATGTGCCACATTTTCTTTATCCAGTCTATCATTGATGGCCATTTGGGTTGGTTCCAAGTCTTTGCTGTTGTAAACAGTGCTGCATGAACAGACGTGTGCATGTGTCTTTATAATAGAATGATTTATAATCCTTTGGATATATATCTGGTAATGGGATTGCTGGGTCAAATGGTATTTCTATTTCTAGATCCTTGAGGAATTGCCACACTGCCTTCCACAATGGTTGAACTAATTTACACTCCCACCAACAGTGTAAAAGTGTTCCTATTTCTCCACATCCTCTCCAGCATCTGTTGTCTCCAGATTTTTTAATGATCACCATTCTAACTGGCATGAGATGGTATCTCATTGTGGTTTTCATTTGCATTTCTCTAATGACCAGTGATGATGGGCATTTTTTCATGTTTGTTGGCTGCATAAATGTCTTCTTTTTAAAAGTGTATGTTCATATCCTTCACCCCCTTTTTTATGGGGTTGTTTGTTTTTTTCTTGTATATTTGTTTTAGTTCTTTGTAGATTCTGGATATTAATTAGCCCTTTGTCAGATGGGTAGCTTGCAAAAATTTTTTCCCATTCTGTTGGTTGCCAGTTCACTCTAATGATTGTTTCTTTTGCTGTACAGAAGCTCTGGAGTTTAATTAGATCCCATTTGTCTATTTTGGTTTTTGTTGCCATTGCTTTTGGTGTTTTAGTCATGAAGTCCTTGCCTATGCCTATGTCCTGGGTGGTATTGCCTGGTTTTCTTCCCTTTCCTTTGTCAACCACATGAACTGTAAAGGACAACATGGTGCCGGCCAGGTAGAAAATCCATTTGCATAATAAAAGACTAGGGTGGATTGATCAGCTTCTTCTCCTTTTTTTTTTTTTTTAAATTTTTTATTGCATTTTAGGTTTTGGGGTACATGAGCTGAACATGCAAGACAGTTGCATAGGTACACACATGGCAGTGTGTTTTGCTTCCTTTCTCCCCTTCACACACATTTGGCATTTCTCGCCAGGCTATCCCTCCCTACCTCCCCTCCCACTGGCCCTCCCCTTTTCCCCCCAGTAGACCCCAGTGTTTAGTACTCCCCTCCCTGTGTCCATGTGTTCTCATTTTTCATCACCCGCCTATGAGTGAAAATATGCGGTGTTTCATTTTCTGTTCTTGTGTCAGTTTGCTGAGGATGATGTTCTCCAGATTCATCCATGTCCCTACAAACGACACGAACTCATCATTTCTGATTGCTGCATAATATTCCATGGTGTATATGTGCCACATTTTTCCAATCCAGTCTATTATCAATGGGCATTTGGGTTGATTCCAGGTCTTTGCTATTGTAAACAGTGCTGCAATGAACATTCGTGTACATGTGTCCTTATAGTAGAACGATTTATAGTCCTTTGGATATATACCCAGTAATGGGATTGCTGGGTCAAATGGAATTTTTATTTCTAAGGCCTTGAGGAATCGCCACACTGTCTTCCACAATGGTTGAACTAATTTACACTCCCACCAACAGTGTAAAAGTGTTCCTTTTTCTCCACATCCTCTCCAGCATCTGTTGTCTCCAGATTTTTTAATGATCGCCATTCTAACTGGCGTGAGATGGTATCTCAATGTAGTTTTGATTTGCATCTCTCTGATGACCAGTGACGATGAGCATTTTTTCATATGACTGTTGGCCTCATATATGTCTTCTTTCGTAAAGTGTCTGTTCATATCCTTTGCCCACTTTTGAATGGGCTTGTTTGTTTTTTTCCTGTAAATCTGTTTGAGTTCTTTGTAAATTCTGGATATCAGCCCTTTGTCAGATGGGTAGACTGCAAAAATGTTTTCCCATTCTGTTGGTTGCCGATTCACTCTAGTGACTGTTTCTTTTGCCGTGCAGAAGCTGTGGAGTTTGATTAGGTCCCATTTCTCTATTTTGGCTTTTGTTGCCAATGCTTTTGGTGTTTTGTTCATGAAGTCCTTGCCTACTCCTATGTCCTGGATAGTTTTGCCTAGATTTCCTTCTAGCTTCTTCTCCTGTTATGTAAATGTCACACCTGGTCCAACCAATCTTTGGGCCCTATGTAAAACAGATATCACCTCCTCAAGCCAGTCTATAAAACCTATGTTCTTCACCATAGGACCAGAAGACCCACCTAGGTGCCCCTCTCTCTATGCTGGAGAGAGATTCTCTTTTTCTTTTCTTTTGCCTGTTAAACCTCCACCCTTAAACCCACTTCTTGTGTGTCTGTGTCCTCAATTTCCTGACATGGGAGAATAAACCTTAGGTATTTACCCCAGACAACGACGCTACTTCATCATGGTGGTTCCAGAAAGATTACACTGAAAAAGGGTCATAAGCTAAATCTGGAAGGATGAATCAGCACAGTCATTATTATCATCACTGAAAGAAATATGATTGGGTTTGAACATTGGAACTTTTATTC